GTAAATATTATGACATTTTGTTTAGTTAATGTATATAAATAAATTGTGTAGCTCTAATTTAAGGAAAGTTTTTATAAACGTGGTGATTTTGGAGGCGATTGAATCCTGACTAGTATTGGAGACATTAGTCAGTAAGGAAATGATGTGGCATCATGTTCTCTCTAATCATCTTGTCTGTTAATCAGCACTTTGTGATCACAGTTTTCCTATTGGCATACTTCTTGTTGATGGACTCTGATGACAGATGAACATCCAAATGTGGAATACAAAAACACAAGCAAATCATGTGATGTAGTCTGATGAGTCACATTTCACTTTATGTACAGGAGATAGGGAACAAATGTCCAAAGAAAACCAAAACACTAGGCACTTAACTCTACACGAAACATTTGAACAATGCAAATTGATAGACACATGGAATGTTTTCATAGTATATATGATTTTTTGACACCTTCAGAATAGTAAATCAAGATTGTGCCTAATGTTTAGTTTACCAATTAACGTAGCATTACATATCACACGTGACAACTGAGTTGCCCTTGCAACAACCAAACTCTTGCCTATCAGACTGCCATGTTGTTGGAGAGTAAACTCCCTGTTTAAATAGATAAACTGGTTTAACTTTAGAGAGTTTTATCTCTATGTTTACTTCCGGTAGCTTACTGGATAATAATTTTTAGTGCCAAAAATAGTGAAATACCATAATTTTGTGCAATTAGGCACATGCTTTTATGGTAGGTATATGTGCACCAGAAATGTCTTCATGGAAACCATGAAGGTGTAAAAATGGTTAAAAATTAAACATATACCTTTCATGTGTTTCCCTGACAAAAATAAAAAAAAGACATCAAAAACAGATGAAGACATAGGGAAATTATTTTCTGTTGTGGAAAATAAAAATAAAATTGTACGGTTTGTTGGTGCTAAATGATCTTTTTTTGTGTAAATTCTATTAATATTTGATGCTCACATGATTTGTTTCACACAGATTATGAACAAAAAAGTTGTATAAAGCATCCTTAATTCATAACAGTTACCTGCTATTTGATTTTGTATCTAGTTACTTTTGATACCCTAACTATATGAGTAATCAAGTACTATTAAAAATTCAGAAAAAAAATAAAATGGGATAGAAAAAATATTCAATAAAATGACATTTCACCACACTTAATGTGGCACCATCTGGTTAACAGTGGGCAAAACATTGCTTTCTCGTATATATTTCTTTCATCCTATTTTAGCTGTTTTTAATTTTTTAAAGTGCGTGGAATAGCGCCAGTATTTCTAATCGAGTACTTGTAGTACGCCTTAATTATGTTTACCCCCAAGATGCTGAATTACCATCCTTATGGACAAGAATTCTTCTAAAATGATAATGAATCAATCCAATGAAATTGTATTGTAAAAAACGAGTTCAAAGAACACAACAACAACTTTAGTCACTTTCCTCACCCAGAAAAACATATGAAGCTAACTCTGATTGAGAAACGAGTTCAGAGAACACAACAACAACTTTAGTCACTTTCCTCACCCAGAAAAACATATGAAGCTAACTCTGATTGAGAAACGAGTTCA